GGTTTCTGAGCTGGGAAAAGAAATGATCAAATGAAATGCATTTAAGCTGAAATCTAAAGTTGAAAGTATATTTATGTAACCCTTTCTAACCCAGAGGCAGTCAATGGCATTGCGATTCTTCTGCCCAGGAAGGCTGCTGACGGCAAGGCTGAAGAATGGGAAGCAGTCTCTGTGATGCTCACAGAAGACACTCTCCTGGGCCAAAGATAAAAGCCAAAGACATTTCTTTAATTCCGCTCCCGGAAACAAGGTTTGGCTAGCTATTTGATTTATTTAATACTTGATTATTGTTCCCTAGAGGTGTCCACAGCTAAGATTCACCTGGTCTCTTATGGAGAGCACAGATAATGTGTCCCCTCACCCAAGCCACCAGAGGAGGGCTGGGAACCTTATTTTAAGAATCCTGCCTCTCATTCTTTTCGGGCATCTTTGGGAATTTCACGTCCTCATCAAATGCATGATATCAGTAGCTGGCTACTCAATCTTCACTTTGGAAGGCAGTGAGGGACCATTTATCTGTTTCAGAAAATCTCTCTCTCACACACAAACGACAATGCTTGTTAAACATGATAATTATCTATGGATGGTTCAGGATTCTTCTATCATCTTGTTTCTGGATGCTACACCACCTCACTGATTGAGCTTCCAGTTAGTTGAGTGTTTAGAGGGAGCAGGTCAACTTATCCTGCATGTACACACACATATATATATATGTGGGGCATGTATTTTCATTTAAATGGTGCCCACTGTCTTGCCTTCTAAAAAGTCAAAGAAAGGAGCCCATAGACATTGTATGATGGATTTGGTGATGTGAAGATGCTGTTATTTAACTTTTAAAGTGTGTCAAGGGAAGTGGTCACAGGGGACAGAATTTGGTATCCCAGTGAAGGCATCCAAGATGCTCAAGTCATCCTTATAAAGAGTGGATAATACGTAGCTTTTTCTTTAAGGCTTAAGAGGCTTCTATGAAAAACTCTAAATCTACAGGCTCTAACAGCTCCAGTTAGGGCAAGGGTACATAAAATCTTAAATATATGAGTCCCATAAACCCTCTGAGAATCTTCTATTGCTCTGAATGTCCTTCTGACCACCTTGAATTCAGCTGAGGAGGTATGAGGGGATTTTCTAAGGAGGCGACAGTTGCATCTTAGACCCGCGGCTGTCAGTTGCTGCAGAATCCCTGCGGCCTCCAAGCTCTATAAGCTAGGTGTGACATGTCTGGCATTCAACATCCCTATCACCGAGCCCTCGTTTTTCTCACAGACTGTTGTTTCTCATTAACTCAGAACCACTCCCAACGCTCAACAATTTTAGCCTTTTTACTACAGCGAAATACTCCTACCAAGATTTAGAAATGGCTGAAGTGGGAAATTTAAAATGTTTGCCAACTTGGCGTTTAGTCACCTGACTCCCCCGCCTAAGGAACGCCACTGAGAATGAATCTGCTGAGTTGTTATGCGATGCTGGCGACCAGCCCAGAACCTCTGTGTCAAATGTGCAGGGACATCTGTCGGTGATCCCAGCTTGTATGGATTTATTGCTGGGCATCTTTTTTTCAAACAACAGAGACCAATGCAAACCCCACAGAGACACCAGCAGCACACACACAGTCACAGACCCCCCCGGAAGAACTCAGACAGAAGGTCAGCGGCAGGCAGCCAGGGCTTCTCCTCCTGTGGATAGATGGGGCATATCTGCTCACACCAAGAAGGTGGCAGAAAGCAGCCCACAGATTCAGGGCTTTCCAAGACAGATGAGAAACTTTGGATGCAGAAGACAGGGCTTACAAGTCCGAATCCCCCTCTCAAGAAATAAAACCCTTACAAGGGAGCTCTTCAGAAATGCACACACAGGAGCGGGTGTCGGCCTTTGGAACGGTGTGAAGAGTAGGCACAAATGCACAGCTATCTTTCTGTGCCTGTTAGCCATGCCCAGCACCCCATTCCAGATGGACAAAGCCACCAACAGCCCCTCCCCTCAACTGCATTCACAGAGACTGCAGATGCGAGGTCTGCTCACGGTCTACCTACCTAATTTTGTTAAGGATATCAATCCCAGACTGCTCCAGTAGGACATTTTTAACAAAGGTACGTGGAATGGAAATCTTTTCGGTGCTAGCATGGATCAGGTCTTGCCGGATGTGGGCTCTTTTCATCACATTTGGACAAAGGTTCTCGGCAGCATCCACCATGGACTCCAGCAGCGCCTGTAATGCAGCACGAGTGGAGGAGCGAGAGATGACGACCCTGCACCACAGGCACTGCCATAAAACTGAGAGGTGGTTATACGCGGTGACGCCGCCGAGCCCCGGAGAACAGGGACACAATAGGGTCCCCAGGAGCCACCCACAGCTCTGAGCTGCCCCCGGGGATTGCTGAATGACCACTGATCTCGAGTAATTACTCTATATCAGACGCTTGGCATGACCGCACTGGCTTCGTGCTGGCATCTTAAGTGTTATGGTGTGTCAGCTGTATTTAACACACAGTTTTAATGAGCTGACTTAAAAAAAACTATCCAGTCTTCATTCACTCACTTACCGTACCTGTTCTTCTCCCTGGTCCGAGAAACCAGTTAAGATAGCCCAGAACACCTATCAGCTCTCTTTCAAACCCCAAAGAGAAAGCACAGCTGGCTTTAGCCCTTTTAAGGACAGTCTTTACCCTGCAATGTGTTTATTATTGTGATTTTAAATAAATAATTTTTTTAAACGAAGAGTCTCAGTGTCAAGTAAGGTACTTGTGACTGTAACAAGAAACAACGTCAAAAATAATAGGCACTCATACTACCTGGTGCTTTAAAAATAATACTCTGTAACAATAGTCAGGGAAACCTTCATGCAGCACGTGAGAGGTGAACACCTTTCTGTGCATCGTATCCTTCCAAATCCTATGACAGTTGGGAGCTACCTGTAGGATGGCTGGTTTCGTAGCTGGAGAATGTGAGACTAAGAGAAGTTAATGGATCTGCTCACGGTGATGTGTCTGATAAATGTGGAAAGGACCCGAATTCTAGCTTTGCACCTAAATTAGAATCCTAGCTGAGTGGCCTGGGCAAATTTATTGATCTCTCCATTTTACTTTTCTGCTCCAGAAAATAGCAATATCATTTTTACACACATCAACTTCATGGTCTTGTTTTTACATGGTAAATTGCACGCACATAGGGCCTATCTAGTATGGACTTTATCTGATAGGAGCTTAAAATAAAATTGGTAATATTTATGTGAGCACATTTTACTGTAAAAGTTTGGGTTTCTGAATTTTTTCCTTTTGTACAGTTTTATTTAGCTAGAACTTCCTGAAACAAGCAGAATTTCTTTAAAAAAAATCATTTTATTGGGGGCTCATATAACTCTTATCACAATCCATACATACATCAATTGTGTCAAGCACATTTGTACATTCATTACCCTCATCATTCTCAATACATTTGCTCTCCACTTAAGTCCTTGGCACCAGCTCATTTTCCC